GGGAAAAAATAGGACACTATATGAAGTACAATGGCTCCCTTTACTGCTATCCAACATCTGTGTATTGTCAGGGCTCAGAGTTTGTTGGAAAAACAAGCATTTTTCAGAGGGAGAAGAAGAAAAAGGGTGCCCCTGTTAAAAACAGTAGCAAAGATATCACAGGGCATTTTATTATTTCTGCTCACTCACAGTATTATAAAGTTCTTCCAGTCGAGGAATAGTGAGGAAGTGCTGCATGTTCACTCCATTTTCAATAAGTAGTTTCACAAAGTCCACTCGATCCAGAACCAGTGCATCTAGCATAGCCTGCTCCAGGGAATTCACCTGAATTGCAGAGTGGAGAATGTGAGACTACACGAACACAGAAGAGTTGGTTGGCCAACAGCCACAAACATTTTCCTTACTTAGGATATTCCCAAGTTCCCAAATATGTTGATTAATCTGTAAGTGAAAAGGAATTTAGAAAATGACATTTCACCCATATGCAAGTTAAAATAGATGACAGAGTTTTCCAATGAAGTCTTGGGTGAGAGGAAAGCAGTGAAAGAAACATTTAGCAATACAATTGTAGCTTTCAATCATTTTGTTTAGTATTTTTAACTAAACCAGGCACACACCATGCTTGACACGTTATGTGAAAAAGAGTTTTACTTGCTCAACATTATAAGAACAAGTTAAAATTTAAGAAAAACACACTGTATACATTTAAGAAGAGGTTGACATAATTTACCCTGATAACTTGCATGTGTATCATCCACTCAAACTGCTGCCTCACAGAGAAAAGGCAACATATAATGCCAAAAGACTCCAATCACTTGGGAAGAAACACTTCTTCCTTCACCAATTTAGCTTTGCCTTTTGAAAATGTTGGTGAGGAAGCCGAACAGATCTCCTCTTAATATGGTCTAAGTGATTAAAACTCAGTAGGAGAGGGGAAAACCCTTTGAGCAGCAATTCCCCTTGACACATGAACTTTAAACCAGACAACAGAATACTCTAACCTACTCAAGTGGAAAATTGAGCACTTAGAAATGGATATGTTTAAACTGTCTTCATTGGATAAATAACATGTACAAGGAAGGATGGTGACGTTCACTGGTGTTCTTACTTTCTTCTGACAAGTACAGGGAAGAAGATGCAGCGGATAAGCACTGACTTGTACTGTACTAGTATGGCTGCATGTCGTACACATGGGATGAGTGAAGGTTTCCTGGCTCAAAGACTGAACAGCATCCCTGCAGAAAGCTACTGCTTATCTTGTGAGAACGTGCAAATGAGCAGTCTATAGAATTAAAATGTATATTTTCCTTCTCTCTCTGTCACCCAGAATGAAACAAACAAACAAACAAACAAAATTCTTCAACAGTTTTAATAGCGACTTTCATCTCACCCAGTTCAGTAGTTCAAGCTTTCTTGGGTCTGTTTCTTCTTCTGGCTCTTCTTTTCCTTTTCCTCCCTTTTTCTTCCCTTTTCCTTTCCCTCTGGCTGCTTTAGTCTGAGCTGCTGGAGATTTCTTTTCCTTCTCAGGAGCTGTACCATCAGGAGCTGTAAGACTTCCTAAAGGCTGTATTTAATAATGCATTAGAAGTATAGAAATTTAATCGATTGTACAGTGACTATTTCGTCGAATCCACTGTTATTGAACTCGCTCCCCAGTCACCACTTCTCACTTGCAGTCAACTAAAAATGGTAATTTCCTTAAGTATAAGGATGTTTTTGCATAGCCACAGCTTTAAACTTTTTTTTAAAGCTTTTATGTCTAATGTAGACAATAACAACAAAAGGCAAAGCAGTGAAGTAGGTAGACTGTGGAGGATTTCTCTTGCAAAACAAAATCAGTGTGAGAGGACTGGGAAGAAACACTACTCAATTTTGTGACAGTTCAGTTTCTTTGCTCTCAGTGAAAGCAACAGTTGTCAAAATAAATAGCAACAAGCAGGATAAGGAGCTGGACAGAAAGAGCTTAACAAGAATGTTGCATGATGCCAAATAGCATCCCTCCTGGGGAGGCAGAAAGGAGAAGAAAGAGAGCCACTAATGCTGGTTCATTTACATTCTGCAGACAATATTTCTGGTTATACCTCTTCAGACACATTTACTCTTTGCAACATCCTTCCCCTTGCCAACCTATCTACCCAAGACAGGCAGGCACACATGCAAATAACTTGACACTACTTGTTTGCTCCAGCTGATGCTTAGGTTATATAACCTCCATGAACACATAATATGGATTACAACTCTCTGTGTTCTGCACAGACAACTACAGAACCAAATCTTTAACAAGGCTTGTTTTCTGTGGTTTTGATTGTCTTAAAAAAAATCTTCTCTGCCTACTTACATAAATCCATTTGTAAGCCTGGACAAAACTGCAAATGCCAACTTGCAGCACATGCTAGTCTGAAAGCAATATTTATGAATTCGAAATGACAGTGGATTGCAACTGACTGATACTGATTGCTGCAGACTATGAGTATGAAATAGGCCAAAGCAGTAACTGGCTTCAGTTGCTCGGTGGTACCTCTGAATCTAAGTACAATAATATGTAGATTGGAACATTCCATCCAAATAAATGTTTTATAGTAATACTACTTCATCATCTTTAGGATGATTAAATCCAAATGAAATAAATCTCACCACTATGTACAGTGTGCACATGAATAGTGTTCCTTTGAGTGTCATTTTATTGCACAATTTCAGGAAAGATATCTAATTAAAAAAAAAAAATCTTGCACTTTCTTACTGCCTTTTTTAGGCTGGTTTCCTTGTGACACTTTATAGTAGTGCACCAGATGGTTCATGCAATAAAGCAAAAAGCATCAGTACAGTGAGACATGAGGATTTTAGTTACACAGATGAACAAAGGCACTGCAGTGTTTCACCACTGACTGCAACTAGTGCAGCATCAAGCTCCAATAATTTGAGAAAGAAAATCCAATTTCAGGACCTAAAGCTTTACTGAAGAACTGCTTCTCAGTTCATTTGCTACAGCTCTGCTTGTCAGAGGCCTGTTTTCTGCAATAGTTTCTTCTAGTCATCAGGATTTTGCTCCATCAATCCAAACAGAGATTTTCACAGCTGTTAATGAAGTGAGCAACACAAGTCCATCTAAGCAGCTCCATGAATTTCCTTGCTGCATACTTTAATAGGTAGCTGGGGACTTTGCAAACTGCTAGCACATGTCAATGACATACACAGTCACAAGTCCAGGCAATGCTACTGCATCACACAAATTCACTGGGTGTGACCAGGAGTGCTATTGTCCAGCTAGATGTAAGGTCACAGGCTGTTTCCAGTAATGCCTTTTTTTTTTTTTTTTCAAATTGCACAAGGAATTTTAAATAATGCTATTTTGCTGCTTGCCATGACATTGCTTTTCTTTCTTTCATAGAGTTTAAATTATTGCTAAATATTTTCAAATGGCTGAGTAAGGAAATTTCGAAAGAAATATATAATTCTTAATTAATGAGATATCCTTTATCTGTTCAGCATAAAACAGAATCCAATACTGTTTCTCCTGCCAACAAAATCCAGGGTGAGAATATTCCACCACTTTGTTAACAAACAATAGGACTAGAAAAACTTTGTCTTACTGGCCAGTGGTGTCCGAAGACAAAAATTTGGCTGCGTGCAATGTCTACACGATTCCAGGCCAAAGCCAAGCTGAGCTGGTCTGGAGCAGATGCATTGGTACCTAAAGGAAAACACAGATGTTCAGTATTTCATGCATGATGAAACAAGATTGGACAATCTTCTGTAATTCAAGAACTAGTTCTCAAAGAACTAGAAAACTGCAAGCCTGACTCCATATCATACTACCATTAGAATTCTACCACAAAGCAGTGGATTCATCAAATGAATTTACACCATCTTCCTTTTAATCCCATGATCCCAATTGCAAAAGGATTAACCAGATTATCTCACTTTTCCCCTTAAAGTTCCCACATTGACTTTATATTCTGAGGCTAAAGATAGACATTTAACTGTTCTAAAAGATGACTCCACTCAGCTCCTCTGTCTGATGCTGTAGATATGAGTATAGTAACTCCTCTGTTTATTTCTTTGCTCTGGGGACTCCAGTGATCCCATATTGAGCTCGTATCAACTACTATATACCTACAGATAGAAAACAGTTGTTTCAGTAAACATAACAAACTCCAAATAAATATGAACTGATCCTAAATTTTGCCCTAAGGCTTAAAGAGCATAATCTGAGATCTGGAAAAATCTAGACAGTATTTTAATCTTCCCATCTTTTTTTCTAACTAAATTCTAGCATTTACTAATATATGCTAGAACTGCAATAAAATGTGTTGAAGTACCAATAGTTGTTGCAGCATTCCCATCCTAGGCTTTCAGGTGAGGAAAGCCACACAAAACTTTCAATCTAGATTTTATGCTTCAACCTTAAGCCAAGCATGTTTGGGTTACTTGTTAGAATTCAAGCAAATGGAACAAAGACTTAAACATCAAGAGTGAACCTCAGACAGTGTATAGGACTGTCTTCTCGAGATCAACTTGTGCATCCTTCCTAATTGCTTGCAAAACCCACCTTTGAGGAGAGCAGTTAAGATAGACATCTCAATGTCCTGTTGCCCTTCAGACCCCATTCGGAACACGGTAATCTAAAGGACAGCACAAAACCAAACATGAAATTACAAGACATGAAAGACAGAGACTAACCATGTAGATAGAAAAAAGAGCAGAATGGTGAAACTTTATTATTTTCTAAGACTTGAGATTTTTTTAAAAAGTACAGTTCCACTGAATTTTTCTTTGAAAATTAATTTTCACAAAAGTATTTAATTAATTTCTCTCAACAAAGTTACCCTAAAATATCTCTGCATTAGTAAACAAGACAAACTTGATGAAATCCTTCACCAAACCTGTGAATTTTGAAAAGTGGCGACAAAACTACCATGCCAGACTGATTGTTTTCTGACAGTTCTATTACTTTCCAATAATAATGGAAATACTAGTTACCCAAGATAACTATCATAGCATTAATTTTATTGACAATAACACTCAAATATTTTTTAGTTGCAGGATATGCTACATATTGACAACCAAAAAAGCAGAATCAACTAATAAAGAAAAGCAATTATTTCTAGTCACATTTGTTTAGTTGAGTCCATTACAATTCACTGATTTAAAAAATAGTAATTCATATAAAGCTTAGTAATTGAACTACATACTACAAGATTAATAATTCAAAAGCAGAATAACTAACTATTCTATGTTAATTACATAATACTGAATGAAGAAAAAAATAAGAAACTCTTCTTTTTCCAAAAGCAACTCTGCACAGCAGATGCTAGCATTAAGTACTAGGAATAGCAATTTTCTCAACAGTTAGAATAGGTTTTGCATGAACGCAAAGATACATGACATCAAAAGAGAAAAGAACTAAAGGAAAAATTTTGTTAATTAACAGGAAAGCAGACAAAATTATCATGCAAACCATAAGCCTGCTTAGGCTGCACAGTCAGTGTCTGAAGTTTGCTGAGTAAATCAGGCCTGCTCTGATGCACATTTTAAATTCAAAGCAGTTTGTCTAAGGCAGCTGTGGGCTCTTTTCTCAATCAGTTCATCTAGGAAGGCTGACTCTCTTACAGTCAGCTTATGACAGTCATGCTCATTACCAACTTGACTTCTGATGAAAGCGTATGTATGGAACCAATCTTGGCCCTATACTAATGTAAATATATCAACAGTACATTTACATTACCCAGACAATGATTTTATATAATCAACTTGGCATGCTAGTAATAATTCTGAACGCATAACAAAAAAGCATGGATGGGTGTCTATTTGATTGTAGCAGAGAGCTGCATTACTAGAAAATACAATATTTGTCAAATTCTGTTCCAAGTGGCATTTGCAGCTGGATTAATCCTTAGAGAATTTAGTTCTGGCAAAAGTATTTAAATATATGCTGCTTAAAATAATTCAGAATTGCATAATCTGGCTTTTATGAACCCAAGGACTATGTAGTATCAAAATCTGATCAAAAATCAAGGAATAGAGATAAAACTAAAATGGACCTTGTCTTCTTGTGGAAATCCCTCCCATACTAAAGGGAAGTCAGCATCAAATGTAATGAATCATGGAGAGAAAAGTATTGGAGAGAATGGAGGAAGAAGGGAAACACCATTAGAAAAGACTTCTGTGATACTATATAGGAGGTGAGAAACTACTTGGTGGCATTTAAGTATTTAGTTGTTACCTTGAAATGTACAGATATGTTAGCAAGCACTTCCTTGTCAGCTGAGATAAATATTATAAAGAAAAGTTAGAGCCAATGCCCAGCACAACCTCTGGAAAAAGGCCAGCTTTTTGGAGATTGTGTAGAATATGAAAATGGTAGAAGGTCTGCAAACAAGCCGGTGATTGCTTGACACAGATTCCCTTCCCAATCCTATGTCATTTCAATTGTCATAGGACACCTTCCTGAAAGGCATTGAAAATGGCTTTGTAGATTAATCCCGAGAGCCACTGATCATGTTTTTTCATGTGTTCCTTAACTCAGCCAAAATCCCCTAAATTTAATCATTTGTATGAGCTTTTACCTGTGAGAAGATAGGCTCCTATGGGCATATCTATGGCAGAGAATATACAACAGTACAGATGGTATTATACTTTAGGATTTCATGCTTAAATCCTATCACAGTTTGATTATCCGATTTATGGAGCTATATAGAAATAGAGACTGGCACTTCAAAGTACTCTTTAAAGTTTGGTCACAGAAATTATGTTTGTGAACTACTTTTAGGACACTTACAAGTTCTTTCTTTTTCATGCACTCCATAAGAACAATGAACAGCTGATGAGCTTGATTCCTGTTGTAGTTAAAGGTTTTCTGGATGGTAACTAGAAGCTGATCCCTAAGGGATTCACTTATTATCCTAAATGAAAAATGAGACATAAAAGAAGACATTGACAGAATTAATTTATATTCAGAAGGCCTGCTGTTTGAGAAACAGTTTTTCATCCACCAGTGCAATTATTTCATTTGAAAATAAATGATAACACACAGCATCTTTGCATTCAGTATAGGTAAGGAGTTAATGAAAAGTTAACCGTAATCCGGAAATTCTTCATGAAAAGTTAATGGTAATCAGGAAATTCATAGGCAGATTGGCTCTTATGCACCTCAGTAACTCGGCACTGATTTAAAAAACTGTCAGGGAACTTGAATATCCTTTCACCGTGGAATAGCTCTTACTCCTGTTACATATTATAGATACATTTTTGTTAAGAAGTTCACAGTCTTCAGGATTTCAGCAGTATACCTTACAGGATGCTTACCTTTGCCTCTAAATGTTGCAAGGCACTTTGCATATAGCTAAAAAATGAAAAATACTAGTTATCTTGGTTATCCTCTTAAACAGAGGATTTGAATTGCTAGTGTATCTGAAACCTCATAATATCCACCCAACTGAGAAACAAACAAACCAAAAGATGATGAAAAAAATTAGATTGAAAACATTCTAGAAAGGCCAGAAATATGTGATCTCACAAAGCAATCTGAAACTGTCCTTCAGTCTTCATCCATTTCCTAATAAAACACAGATGATGCAAACATTACCAGCAGGCATTCAAAGCAATGAGACAGTTGAGCCTGTGAAGTGCAGTAAAATTCAAAGATCACTGTGAGAAAATTATTCTTTTAGACAGCAGGGTTGACAAAAATTTCTCATTATAGACCTGCCTTACCAGATGAATACATTTATCTCATCATAATTATTGGATAGGAAAATTGGACACTGCATCATATGTACTGGGAGAGACAGTCATGCAGTGAGCTCATCTCAGATAGACTGATCCTGATAAGCTCTTTCAACTACCTATGAGCTGATAGGAAGGATGACTGTGAAAGAAAAAAAAAAAAGGAAAGAAAGTTTGATCTAAGCTAAGGAGGCTTGGTCAATGGAAAGCAAAAGAAAATTGCTGAATCAAAAATACTGTTGATAAGATCAAATACGTACTATGCGTAAACATAAAAAAATTGCAGTATCAGAGTTGCTCTTACAATTCAGCAAATAACATCTGCACTGCTTGATAATACTAGATGTTTGCTTAATATTTAATCCAAACTAAGCTCCAACTCCAGTCAAGGATATAGGTTATTTCTTTAGTGCAAGACGGGTGTGCAATACCCTAGTCAAGATAATATACTAGGTTTTTGCCTGAATCTGGCTACTAAAGATAAAGTTCTGATATTAACAACAACAATAGGAAATCTATGTAACTTGACTGGGAGAAGCAATATTTTAAAAATGCAATACTCTGCTTCCACGTGGAGTATTTGACAGGATAGATATTTTGCTCTGCAGAGCAGATGAGCTTTATGCTGCTAGTATAGGCTTTGTATCTTGTTTAAACTAACCATACTTTCTATAAACCAAAGGGCAGACAACTAACCATAAGTACAAAAGATTCCACAAAACTTTGTATTAGGAGTGACTCTTACAGGTTCATTTGGGCAATGTACAGGAGTGCTGTGGAACAGAATGCTCCAGAAAACATCCTCCACTCTGTTCATAACATCAGGCACCACTGCCCTGAAGAACCATCATAGATGCAAGCAACAGCAAGAGAATGGAAGGAAGACCAACATTTTTTCAGCTGGTCTGGCCTCTTGGAGAATGAAGCCAATTCACACAACACACTAGAATCAGGCAGTATAAATTTTGCAAATACATGCACTAATTAACCTCAGTCCTGGCCTCAGAAAAAGAGTAATTCTTGGGAACCAGTTGTTCCCTGCTTCTAACATGCCCAACCCAGTGCCAAGTATAGTGCAGCAAACTTTGATGGAGTTTGTATGACATTGTGCTGCACTGAGAGCAAGCTTATTTCAATGGACCATCACATACATTCCAAGTGGTAACAATTCCTGCCCATTAACATCAGGGCTAAGATCAAACAGGCAATAAAAGTTGACTGGCGGCAGAATACCTCTGTTAGTACCATTTTGTTCCTGAGTTGTTTTTTAATGAAGCTTTAATGAAAGCAAGGCATATAGTCCTACATCATCCTCCTGAGCAAGACACAGCTTTGGTGAAGATCTCAAAATCTTACCCTCCTTCTTCTGAATACTTGTGTGCAAATGACAGAATATCTGATGCTCGTCCACTACCATCACATATCACGACAGGGAGAGGGGGCTCTTCTCGTAGACACTCTAAGACAATGGAGATCACATTGGGACCCCCTTCCACTATGAGCCCAACTACAGGAACACCTTGTCCCAGTCCTACAAAAAACAGAAGAACAGAAACAAAAAAAAGAAGTGTACTTGAAACTTAGCTTAAGGGGTTGAAATATTGTAAGTGGATGTGACTTCTATATTATAGCATCACTTCAAACCAGAACAGTCAGGAAAAATTATGGCTGTTCCATGGCCAACACTAGGAAAAGTGTCTATATGCTGTTCCATAGACCCAGAAGGAGAAGAGCAAGGTGTCTCTCTGCCCTTGATTTTGCATCAGCTCCATACTGATCATTTATTCAACTCAGTGCTGGTGAACTGTTTGTAATCTCTTTCGACAGACACCATGTACAGATAAAACAGCTGAAGTGATTCTCTTATTACTTCATTAGCTTCACTGTTACTTGGATGGCTCCCAGCTACTGTGTCTGATGCTTTAACTCTTCATTGGTTACCTACAGGAAGTCTTCAGTAAGGTGACATACACCTGTGCTTTCTCCTAAGACAAAAAATATGAAATTAGTGTCTTTATCATGAGGCTGAAATGGCTGGCCGATGGAAGAGACGACAGCTGAGCATCCCTTTGCTGTCCCTGCCTCACTGTGATCTCCAGGCATAGGATGACAAAGGGAAGCCCACAGGTCACATGGTCTCAGTAGCCTTGATCACAGGATACTTGGGGAAATGAAGAACAAAACATTACCTGAAGGCTGACTAATCCCACTATTATAATCATTTAAATTCAGTTCTTAAGCTGTAAAATGAACAGTGCTTCATGAAGAAGATGCACTTTTTTGTACGGCTGAGAACATGTGAAAGAGTTCATATTTTCAACCTTCATTCCTCTCTGAAGAACAGGAACACCATGCACAGTAACAGCAGAAGCTTCCTGACATCCTTCTGTCAGTATACCCCAACTCTGATAAGGAGGAGTGAAAAAGCATAGGCCAGCTTGTATGTCCATGAAATCCTTAGTGATTCCTTCTGAGATTTCCAGAAGAGGTGCCTGTGCTTAAAGTGATTAAAAAGAAACAAAACAACTCCCTGTATATTGTCACTAGTAGGTGTACTGCAGCCCTTCACAGAACTCTTAATTCCTATGTATATTCCCAACTTTGCCCTTCTCATGACAAAAATGATCAAACACTAATTAAATCAGAATCCGTATCACCACCTCAATGGTGTTAAAAGAAATGACAGAGAACATCTTGCTTCTGGGCCCTGACTTCCTTATCTTCCAAGCCAGTGCTCCCTTTTGCAATGTTACAACTCTCCCAGCACTTCTACAGAAGACAAAGATGAAAAAAGCCTAGCTAACTTTAGCTATTTCTGATGTCTGTGGGCAACAGTGCATGAGACTGTCTCCACACTCAAAGGCAAGGGGCATCATTTTGGTGAGTTCTATTTCTTAAGCTTACTGTAGACAAAAAGGAGTACTTTTAAGTATTTTTAAGACTTTCATGAATGTTTAGATATCTTGCGGCTGATCTCTAACTGCACATTTTGGCTTTACCAGGCACTCTACTTCATTCTTCTGCTCCATCCGTAAGAGCACTTCAACCCTATCAGAAACTTTTGTAGAGTTCAATACAATTGTCATTCAGAAAGTTTGGCTTTTTTCCTATTTATATGGGCCTACACAGGTTACCAAAGCACCTATAAGAAGTCAGAAAGGCAACTGGTAGAACTGATGTCTATTCTCCAGTATCTCTTAATTGTAGCATGGATTCAAAACCTATTAACTTTTTTTTGGATCATTTTTAATTAGTTTGCTGTTGTGGCTTTTTTTTAAAGCTGATGGAAAACTACAGCTACTAAAACGTTTTATATATTTAATCTTTAAAAAATATTTTTTTTATACAAATCTGTTAATGAAAAAATATCTTTTAAAAGAATCTTCTCCTAAATAATGTCAAAAAGAATTCTAGAAAGTTGTTTTAGAGAGGCTGTAACAACTGGCAGAAATTTTAAAACTGCACAATACTCTAAATATAAAAGCACTGATGTGAAATTATCTTGCTAATGGTTTCATTAAAAATGAAAATCCCAGACAGTCTTGATCAAATTCCTGCTAGAAAGAGCTAGAAGCAGCATTTAATTTCAATACCTTGAAGTACTTCAAGCCCTTCTTCCCTCCCTTCCTTTAAGATGTTAGGATTACAGTTTGCCGCACTGTACTTACGTGTGTTAATTTTCTGGAGGGAAATGTGTTTTTCCAACTGACGCCGTAACTTCACTTCAGCTCCATATTTACCTAGCGTACCATTGTCTGCCAGAATGAAGTGGGTATGGGAACTGTTGAGCACAGAGAGCTTACTTAGAGGGTTTGACATTGTTTGGTAAACCCGTGTTACCTGTGTGTCAAAAGGACAGATGCACTAGATTAGAACTAAGAACTAAATGTGAAAATCCCCCACACTGCCCAAGGGAAGCACGTGGCTTATGAGGGAACAAATCAACCAGACCTTTATAATAAAAATTGAGGAGAATTAGAAATTGAGCTTGCTTTTACATTTAAAACTTGAACTCATCACAGCAGTGGTTTTTTTGGAGGATGACAGTCACATCTGTGCACTCTCCTACATGTTCCCCTAAGCTCATTCATGTACTCTCCTTGATCACACGCTGTGTTACATAATCCTCTTACTGCATTAGAAAATGTATTCTCATTTGGAGTTCCTAGTAATTAATATGCCACTGCAGAGTATCCATCTACATTAAATGCCAGCCTTGTACACATAAAAGCCCTTACATGTTTTATAGAAACCTCAGCACACCACACCAAAGTTAGGACCTAAAACTCCTGTCACCAGGGAGGTCTCTACTATTGAAAGCAATAGAAACCTCACTAGCTCCATATTTACTTTGAGGTCATATGTGACAACCTGACAAATATATTCAAACAACAGCTTTTCTTCAAGAAATTGTTCAATTGCAGCTCTTAGGCATGCTTTTGAAACAGTGAGAATATTTATACTCCAAAAAGATGAACCCTGTATTTTGTTACACAGCTGACATGGCTAATTTCACAGGAGTTTCCTTAAAGACTTACATCTTTTCCTATGAGATCTTCCTTGTTTTCTACAATGCCCCACGGTGCAATTCCTATGGCACATATTCGTCCTCTGGATTTGGAAGAATGATCTTTCAAGGCATCTCCCACATGACGAATGACGCCTGTAGGTACAATTAATTTAATTAATTCTTGGCACTTTTGAGAGATCACTAAATAACACAATTTTCTTCTGGCCTCTCCTGGAACTACCTGCTTTTATGGACTGCTTTCACTACTGAACTGGTATCTTCACTTTATAATAGAACATGCAAAGTAGAAAAAAAACATGCTTTTCTTTTGTAATAGTTGTGTGTAAATCCTCTTGCCTTTTCAGATCCTTGTTCTGAATTCAATGACCTCTTTGAAAGACTTATTCAGTTACTTAACTTGCCACAGTGCAATCGGTACCATTGTCTGGAATTATATTATTCATTATACACAACGCTAAACACATATGGAACACTATCACTGGGGTCTGAGCAAACCAAAAAAGCCAACCCTATAATTATGTAAGAAATATTTTTTCACTTAAAAATTATTCTGAATAGCAATCATCACCTTTCCTTAATGGCATTAGACCTTTATTGCAAAACGGAAGTCAAAGGAATTAATTCTTATTTTACACAGTTTTTAAAAAATAACTTGATGTACAGATTCATTTCAGCTAAATATAGATACTGTTATAGAAACATAATGAAAGTTTGCATCTGATTGTTTTTGGAATATCACTCAGAATTGATAGTAACATCCATGAAATTAATAAAACCCAACTGGTCCCAAGATATATAATATATAGGGAATAATCAAACCAGCTATTTTTCAACATGTCTTTCAAATTTTGGACATCATATCAGACACCATTTTTTTGACAGAATCCAGGAACAGTGCCAAAAACTTCCTGGCGGAGTTATGCAAGGTTGCTGTACAAGTAGTGTTCTAGATATGGTCAAAAATGAAACACGGAAACATAAAACTGCTTCAGGTGGCCAGAAGGCTGGGAGGAAAACGCAAACAGGAGACTCCAGTGTCTTCAAGTAGAGACATGTACAACTGACTTCAGGTTTGTGTTTTGAGATTACGAATTTACAGTCATTCATTTATGAACAAATATACTTTGCATAATTACAAGACAGAGCGTGTGCATGGGTCGTGATGGGTGATCCCATGGAAACAGTGACTCAGAGACATGGCATTTAAGGCAGATTATCAATTGATCACTAACTCTCAGAGAGATCACACAGCCTAAAGGCTAACTCAGTTCTTGGCTGCATGAACAGGGAAGTGTCAAACGGAAGCAGAAAGGATGTTTTACTTCAGGGATTAAAAGCTTCAGCAACCACTGTCTCAAAAAATTGCAGCATCCAAAATTCTAGAAAAGGCAGTCTTCTCTCTGGAAAAACTAGAGAGATTTCAAAGCAGAGGTGGGATAATGACTGAAGGACTGAAAAAGATGCTTAGTATGAGAGTTTTATGGAACTCTGCAGTTTGATAAAAGTGCTATGTACATGCTCAGGAAATCACAGAAAGGTAGGGGTTGGAAGGGA